TCAGCCTCCTGAGTAGCTGGGATTACAGGCACGCGCCACCATGCCCAGCTAATTTTTTGTAGTTTTAGTAGAGACGGGGTTTCACCGTGTTGACCAGGATGGTCTCGATCTGTTGACCTCGTGATCCACCCGCCTCGGCCTCCCACAGTGCTGGGATTACAGGCTTGAGCCACCGCGCCCGGCCCCCAAGCTTTGAATTTCTTAAGCGCCACCTTTATTTCATTTTCTGTAACTCAGTTCAGATCCTTTGCCAATTTTTAAATTCAGTAATTGTTCTTATTGATTTGCATGAGCTCCTAATATATTCAGAAAATTAAACTTTATCTGAAATGTGAGTGGCAAATATTATTTCCCAATTTCTTCCTTGTCTTTGACTTTGCTGAGGGTAGTTTTTGACATGTAGTATCTTTTTATTTTACGTAACCAGATTAAATAAATTGTTTTATGCTTTTTTTCACTTATCGTGCTTAGAAGGGTCTTCTCAACTCTAAAATTAACTTTGAAAGCTCCAAAATTTCTTCTAATATCTCATAGTTTTTTTAAATGAATTATTTGATTTATTTGGCCTTGTATAAGATGTGAGAGACATCCAAAATTTTTTTTTCCACTTGGCTAGTTGTTCTAACATAATTTATTGAATAATCCGTGATTTCTTTACTAATTTGCAATACCACTTTTATAATTTACTAAATTCCTAAATTCCCATTTTTCTGATATCTACTGTGTTTTATTGAGTATTCATTTCCACTGTCACACTATTTTGTGTTTGTTAGCTTCATAGCATGTGTGTTATTTCATGGGGTTAGCCCTCCCTCATTACTTTTTCATTTTCAGAATGTTTCTGGCCATTCTTGCTTCATTTTTTCCACATTGTTTATTATCTGTCTAAAAAATTTTTGGCATTTGTGTCAAATTACACTAAATGTAGATTCATTTAGGGAAACGTAATATCTAATGACATTGACACTTTCCACTCAATAGCATGGTAGCCTTTCTCCTGTTGAAGTCTTCTGTTGGTCTATCTGAAGCATTTAAAAGTAGTCTTCATATAGTAATATTATGATATGCACGGGAGGCAGCAAAATACTAGGCAGAAGAGGGTGGGGTCCTTTTTGAAGCCCCACCCTCAAGCCTGGACCCAGCCCAAAGGGAGGACATGCATTTCTGTTTTCCTGCTGAAATGTTGCCTTTTCCAAAACCACCGTGTCCCGCTCCACCCCCACTCATCCTGTGCCCATAAAAACCCCAGGCTTCACTGCCAGTGGAGCGGCAGATAAGGAGCAAAGAGAAGAAGCAGTTTGACATTGGCAAGCAGCAGCTTGACTTCAGAGGGTCAGTTTGATGGCGGGACCTTGGAGAAGAGTTTGGCCCGAGATGACCTATCTCTGGGGAAAGACAATCTTCCCGCTCCATCCACTTCCCAGCTCTCCATCCCACCGAGAGCCACTTATATCAGCCATAAAATCTCCTGCATTTACCATCTTCAATTTGTTCCTGTGACCTGCTTGTTCCTGGACGCTGAACAAGAGCTCAGGGTACAGAGGGCTGTCGCACTGAGCTGTTAAACACATGCCGCATATGTATGGCAAAACTAAGAGAGCACTGTAACATATGCCCTCTGGGGCTCCAGGGGTCATGGGTACTCGCCTTGATGCTGCCGTGGGGCCACACAGAGTTCTGCTCCTGCCAGCACCCAGAAGAAGTCGTCCTGGTCCCTGCACCCACTCACCTGCATGCTTCCCTTCCCAGAAGGAATTGAGAGCTGCAGGCTGAGTAAACGAGCCACCCCCTTTGTGAGTCCCATGAAGCAGTCAGTGTAGGTTTCCTGTTTCAGTCGTGCTCATTTTTTGTTAACTTTATTGCTCTAGCATCTTATCTTTTGTTGCTCTTTATTCTTTTCATTCCATGCTTCATGCTTCTATTATTTATAATAATATTTTAGTCACTTCTCTTGGGTTTTTTATTTATACAGCCATCTGCAGATAATGACACTTCCACCAGGAAACTTCCAATTTTTAAAAATCCTTTAAATTAATTTTACTTCTGATTGTACTGGATACTATCTAGGGATAATATCAGTTAGTAGGGTGAGTGTAAACAGCTTTGTCTTTTTTTCTGAAATTAATGGAAATAATAATGTTTTCTCATTAAGAATGATGCAAACTGTTAAATTAGCCGGGCTTGGTGGTACATGTCAGTAATCCCAGCTACTTGGGAGGCTGAGGCAGGAGAATCACTTGAACCCAGGAGGCAGAGGTTGCAGTGAGCCGAGATCATGCCATTGCACTCCAGCTTGGACAACAGAGTAAGACTCTGTCTCAAAAAAAAAAATGGTTGTTGAATTTTATTTTTCAGCACTTATGAACATTATTATATGATTCTTCTCTTTAGTATTATTACTATGGTAAATTACATTTATATGTTTTCTAGTATTAAACCAGCTTTACTTTTATGGAATAAACCTGTATTCTGTATTTAGTATTTTTGCATAAATACGGATAAGTGAGATTTATTTGTAGTTTTCTGGGAGCCAGTTTTTGTTAGGTTTTGATATCTCAATTATATTTATTTCACAAAACAAATTTGGAAGCTTCCTTTAACTTTCATGCTGTGAAACAATTTACACAGCCTTGATATTATCTGCTTTTAAAAAGTTGATAGAATTCCCTTGTGAACATCTGGTGCCAGTATTACTTGAGGATAGGCTCTTCACAACTTTTTCTAGCTCAACTGTGATGATCATTCTGCTTAGATTTTCTTCAAGTCAATTTTAGTAAATATATTTTTCTAGGAACATCTATCTTATCTATATCTTCAAACTGTAGTGCAGAGTTAAACAAAATAGTTTCTTAAAAGTACTGGAATTTCTCGGATTTGTAGTTATTTTTCCTTCATGTCTTATTTTGTGTATTTATGCCTTTTTTCTTTCTTGATTATATAAGCTAATGATGCCAATTTTACTGTCATTTTTCAATGAACCAGTTTTTGTGTCCATTTTAACTTTTTTAATCTTTTATTTATCAAATCAACATTTCATATGTTCTGATTTCCTTAGATTTATTTTGTAATTATCCTAAATGTTTGGTTTATATTTACAATGTTTTATTTTCATAGTTTTGTTTTATTTTTAGTTAACATGTAGTAATTGTACATATTTATGGGACCCAGTGATATTTGGGTACATATATACAATATGGGATGATCAAATCATAGTAATCTGCATAGCTATCACGTCAGACATTTCGTGTTGGAAACATTCAAAATCCTCTCTTCTAGCAATTTGAAAATACATGATAAATTATTGTTAACTATAAGTCACCCTCCAGTGCTGTGGAGCTCTAGAACTTATTCCTCCTATCTAGACTTATATTTTTAACAATTACTTCTTTATATCTTATTTACTCATCCATGCTCTTCCTGACTGGGCTGATCTAACATGGCCACCATGATGTGCTATTCATTCTAGGTTGTTATTATCAGTCCTTTTCCACTAGAGTAGAAGATTCATGATGACAAGAGCCCTGTCATTGCATACATAGTACCTGGAAGAGAATATGCCACATAGTTGGTGTTCAGCCAATACTTGTTCAACTAGTAACTGAATGATCCTCTACTTATACATGTCACAGGACAGAAGCAAGGGACTTACTGATGAATTACATGAAGTGAGTAAGACAGAAGACACAGCCATAGATGGTTCCTAACATCTGGCTTCACCAGTGGAAATAATGTGGCACTATTTAATAAGTTGGAGAAAACTGAGAGGGAAATGTGTTTCAAGGGGAAAATTAAGAACCCAACTTTGGATGTTCTAATTTTGAGCTGCCTTTCACATAGAGGTTTTAATATAAATTTTATATTCTAAAAGATGTTTAAAAATGAATTTTTAAAATTTGGCAATTGACTTTTTAGTGCTGACATTCAAAGATCATCAGATATTTAAGGAAAGACTCAATCATGAAAGAAAAGAAACCAAAACACATAGAAAAGTGAAACTTGGAGGAAGAAAATATATAGAGGGAGGAGAACATAGTTAAAATGTGTCTAATAATTTGCTTTCATTGAAAGCACTCTTTCTATTGAAATATTGGGGACATAGGCAGAAATTGGTGGATTAGTAGATTTGCTAATGGGAAAAAGAGGATTGTCCTATTGTTGCCTGTCAAAGATTTCAAGGGCTGAAATGGGTCAGGGAGAAGAGAGGTTGAAAGTTTGAAGACTGTGGAAAAGATGTGAGATAGTCACTGTGGAGACTTAATGAGTGACTTCTCTAGGGAAATATGGGATGGAAATGCTCAATGAAGTTACTTATTTGAGGCTGAAGAGCATGAATTTGTAGGAACTTGAGCTCATCCAGTTATGAAATACTCTCGAGTAACACTCAGTGGCTTAGAAGCAAACACAGAATGTTAAATAGTCATTTAAATGTGGGATTATTTCACATTTAGGAGCATCAGAAAATTAGAGTTATTGTATGATTCATTTATGTAAAAATTATATTAGGGAAATTTTCAAACATATTCTGAAATAGAATGTATGAAGAACTTCACATGCCAGAAGCCTTGTTTTAAAAAAGCATTAGCATAAGAATAATCTAAACCTCCCCATTCTCTACTCCTTTGCCCTGTGCTGGATTATTTTAAAGCAAATCACAGATGCAGCTCATTTCATCTGTAAATGTCAAAGATATTTTTGAAGGGTAAGTATAATGATTGACCAATAATCCAAACTGAATATGAAAGGAAGAGAGGAGAGGCCTGATAGAGGGACAGAGAATATAGAGGTGTCAATGGATTGAAAGCCTGTGATGTTTCCATGGCAACCCTTGAGCAAATAAAATGGAAAAATAAGAGGTAGTGATAGGAGAGTGATTCGCTTAATGCTTAATTTGTGATTTGTTTGCATTTTTAATAAAAACCAATAGTGAGAGAGTCAATCAATAAATCAATGTGCACAATCCTTTCTCTCAAATCTTTTTTACTTACCATTTCTCTTTCTAATAAAAATCAATATAAATCTTTCAAAATTTTGAAATTAGTGAATATGTGTTCTAAGTAGTTCAAACAATGCATAAAGGCATAAAATAAATTGTAACTATTTCATTTATTCCCCAGATACCCAATGACACCACTCAGAAGCCCTCTGTGAATTGGTTTTTGGTATATTTGTCCAGAAACTGTATGTACATATATATGCACACAAATATATAAATATTATGAAAAAAAGAAATACAAAAGGAATCATAAAATATCTCCTTGCTCTTTGTACTATGTATTGGAAATCTTTTCATCTCAGGATACATGTATCTATCTCATTTAAAAAGATTAACATAATATTCATTTCAGACATTCAATTCCCCTCATGAATGAATAGTGCAGCTATGAAGATCCTCTTGTACATATTTTTGCTTATGTATACCCAACCATGCTTAGAAAAAAATTCTTAGTAATTTTTAGGTTGAAAGATGTTTTATGCATTATTAATTTTGATAGATAGTTCCACATTATTTTGGTTATATCTTTGGAAGATGGAGATAAATGCATTTTAAATTTCTGCTCAGAAAACTTCCCAAGTAATCTAAAAGGCATGTGGAGGGAGAAAGAGAGTTGTCAGAAACTCAAGTTTCAGAACATTCTTCTATTTTGGTGGCTATACAACCCTGCTGCACAGCAGAATCACCTGGAGAACTTGGACAATTGTCTAACACTAGAAATTCTGACTTAATAGAGCTGAGATTGGGTATGAAGATTGGTATTTTAAAAAATGAACCCTAGAGATTCTAATGTGTAACCAGTGCATAGAATTACTGCTTTAGACAGAGCCAGCAGAGGTAGAGGGCTCAGGTAAAGAATACGACAAGCACCACTAAGATTGTACCCACGAAGCAAAAGAGAAATGATCAGTCTCCTGTATAAAAAACCACATCAGATGAAAGGGTCAGATCAGGGCTGGAGAAGAAAAGAGGAGAGAAGAGAGAGATCTAGGTCCTGTGGTCTTCTTGGGTGCTGGTCACAGAGTCCACTGTTTTGGGTAAAGATGAAGTCGAAGCTGAAGCCGCTTCCAGGCTCTTCTGAGTCCAGGGTTATCCTGAATCAGTAGAATTGAATGACTGGCAGGGTAGGCAGCCATGATGATCTGGCACAAAATATTCCACAGACTGTAGATGTCAAAGATGTTGGACAGGTAGATAAACAGAGCAACTGCATTGAAAATGTAGAGAATGAGAAAGTAGCTGGTGGCTTTGATGGCCCCCATGTGAGCCTCCATGCTGGGGTCCCTGGACCCTGTGGCATTGCTTCCCATGTATAGGGTGTGTCTCTTGAGAGAGAGGATCAGCAGGGTGGCTGCCAGGATGAACATGATCAGAGGAACCACAATCCCCAGGTTATAGAAAAAAGCCAGGCTGACCACATTGGTCTCAGAGAAGTACTTTTTCTTAGTGGAGTTGAAGGAATGCATAGGTAAAGAATTGTTACAATACATAGTGCAGACGTTGATGCAGAACATGCTGTGACTGAAGGAAATAAACACGGACAGCCATAGAAGCCAGGGCATCAATCCAGAAATTCTCCACCTCAACTTGAGGAAAAGTGGGTAGGAGAAATTGGCAATCTTCACAAAATAGAAGAAACTAAGCCAGGCAGCAAACCACAGGGTACAAAAATTTAAGAATATAAAACTTATTTTGAATGTATAATATACAGCATCTTCATAATAAAAACTTAGGAAGTTTGAGCTGATGGTAATTTCCAACATCATGAAGCTTTGGAGAGCTATTCTGGATATACACAGGAAAACCAGGATCCTGCCACTTGTGGAAACTGCCTTATTTTGAACCCATTCAGCTGCATGTATAGCCGTGATGAATCCATTTGCAATGATACCGATGAGGTATTCAGCAAGTAAAACTGCTAACAGTAAGGTGATGAGAAATGGTGACAATTTACTTTCTGGGGGATCGCAGAGTTTAGTCATCCTGAGCTGTTGCTTCTCTTTGGTGTCTGGAAGAAAATATCTCCCTAGTGTTTGGTTGGCAGATTCTTGATAACTCCCAGTATTCATGTCATAGGAGGAAGCAGTTGATGCATCATTTCCAAATTCACTCCATTTGTTTATTTCAGAATCCTTAGCTCTACATCTAGAGATGCAAATGTTGGAAGGATTTTGTTTCTAATCCTCTCCCTATTTTTGAACATGTTGGTATTAGTTCAATAATGAGGCCCAGGGAAGTGCTTGAGCACACTCTCTTTAAAAGCAGCTAACATGGTACTGAGGTCCATGTTCTTTGGTAGCTTCAGTTAATCTGAACATTGGTTGACTGAGTCATCATTTAACTTAGTTTCACCTTGTGACTGCAGAAAATGATTGAAAATAGTAACTGCTACACACACACACACACACACACACACACGCACACAAATGCACTTTGTATTTTGTGCTAGGAAATGTTCAAGTGATTTATTTATAATTACTACATTTAAACTTCACAACAGCCTTATGAGCATAGCATGTACTTTTATTACCTCCGTTTTGCAGATGAAGAAACTGAGGCATACAGAGGTTAAATAACTTGGCCAACGTCACACAACTAGAAAGTGATAGAACTGGGATTGAAACCCAAGTCACCTGGTCCTAGAGTTCCTCCCCTTACCCACTATGTTATGCTACCTCAACCTGTGGATTCTTTTGTGTGCTTAAGAGTAAATGCAGGGTTGATTCGACTGTGATATTTTTTTCCTGGTAGCCTTTTATGTCCTCACCCTTTAAAGAAAAATCAGTAAAGCAAGAAGACACTAATTTTCAAGAGATAGGACTCTCTTTTCAAAGTAAATTACTTGAGAGGTAATAAATTTAATTATACATAAATGATCATACATAGGGTCATACACACACACACACACACACACACACTCTCTCTCTCTCTCTCTCTCTCTCTCTCACCTTTCATTTTAAGCAAAACTAGGAAAATAAGAGTTGAAGGAAAAACTCCCTAGTTCTGAACAAGGTAAGCTATTGAACCTGAGAGTAAAAGCAATGCTCCAATTCATCTAATTTTGGAATATTAAGACCAAAAGAAAGGCAAAAAGTATCACTTTTATCTTAGGGAAGTTTTTCTGATTTTAAAACATCAGCATCGGACACATAATGATAAAATGGACTTTTCATTTCAGAGTAAATTAATTTTTATGAATGTATATAACTCTAAAGTAATGATGAAGTAATTCTAAGGTTTGCAGGTGAGAAGTCTCAGAAAATCTCTACATTTGGTTTTTACTTAAAGCTTTTTAAAAACAAAGCAAGAACTTTTAAAAGTTTTCTGGCTTGATTAATGATTTTAGGTGAGTGGTTATGAATTTTAGCATCTCATTTGAAAATCTGTATTCCTGAACAAATATTTCCCTTGAATACAGCATAAAAGGTAACTGCTTCTCTCTGCTTGTTTCTACCCATTTGCACAAGCAGGCCTGTAGTATCTCAGGACCTTCAGTTTGGTTTTAAAGACGATTTTTTTTGCCACTGACTTTCTCCTACTTCTGCTGATCCAGGCTTCTCAGAGTGTGAGGAGAAACAGTACATGGTCACTTAAGAGGCTGTTTCGTCCCTCCTCATTTGATTTGCTTATCCTTGTATCCCACTCCCAGCTCCTAGCCTGTGCCTGACACACAGGAGGCAGTGCATAATGCTGGGTTAATGAATGGCCTTATGAAGACCATCAGCTCAGAGAAGCTCTTTATGAGAGACATGAGGAGAAACGGCTGTTCCGCCTCTCCTCAGATTTGAAAATCTGCAGATCCTATGCCTAAATTGAGGGTCAGAGTATAAACAGTGAGGATGAGTGAGAACACAGCAGACTGTGGAGAACGTCTATGTAAGAAACACTCGTGGGCGACAGAGAGGACAAAGGAAGGGGAAGCAGAGACAGAGCAGCAGGATGAGAAAGAGCTCAGACAGGGTCTGCCTTCACAGCATGGGATGCTGCAGAGGCCGTGGGCAGGAGCTGGGGCCACAAACACCAAAGGCATTGCAGAAGACGTTCTGCTTGCCACAGCTTATGAAAGAGGTGCTTCCTGCAATGGAAAGTTTCATTCATGGAAATTTCCAGGGACAATCTGAGGGGGGATGAAATAACCTTTCTGGGTGAAAAGATGATCTTCTTAAAGTAACACTGTTGGACCAGTTCCTAAATGGCACATCCAATTTCCTAAATACATGTTGGATAGATTCAAGTGGGTGTTTCTAATATTAGGTTGGTGCACAAGTAATTGCGGTTTTTGTCATTACTTAAAAAGCGAAAACCACAATTGCTTGTGCACCAACCTAATAATTAAGGAAAGCTCATGAAGAAAATTCTGACCCATTAAGGACATAGGGAATAGCTTTTAAAAGTCCAGTTTATTTTGGTTATATTTTTAACTTATTATTGTGAAATAACTTTTGACATAGCGATGAGTTGTAAAGATAATACAGAGAATTTTCATACACCCTTCACTCCGCTTCCACTAATTTTTACATCTTACATAATCATGGTGCAATGATCAAAAGTAGGAAACCGGCATTGTTACAATACTATCAGCTCAACTTTTGGCTTCGTTTGGATTTTTCTAGTTTTTCCACTAATGTCCTTTCTTCTGTTTCAAGAGCCAGTCCAGGACACCACATTGTAATTAATCATTGTTTCTTTCGTCTCTTTCAATTGGAAACAAATTCTTGGTCTTTTCTTTTCTTTTATGACCTTGACAGTTTTGAAGAGTCCTGGTCAGGTATTTTATAGTATTCCTTGATTTAGTTTGTCTTACGTTTTCTCATAATTAGACTAGGTTAATGGATTTTGGGAAGAATACCACAGAGATGATGTGCCCCTCTGAATGCAGGGACATGTGATGTCAATGACTTTTACTGGTGATGTTAACATAATCACTTAGTTAAGGTGATATCTGACAGGTCTCTCCACCATAAAGTTACTCTTATTTTTCCTTTTATACTCTATCAATTATAAGTAAGTCTGGCCCCACACTCAATGGGGGAGATGAATGAAACTTCACCTGCCAGAGGAGAACTCTTGATGAATTTGTGGACATATTTTAATTACCACCACAGAAAGATTCTGTAGGACATACTTTGAAGCTATGCAAATATCTTGTTTTTCTTAAAACTCTTGTCCACTAATTTGAGTATTCATGAGGGCATGCTGCCTGCAGCAATTAACGTTAGTGTGGCATTATAATTTTTTGTTTTCCTCTTTCCCATCACCTTTATTAATTAGAATTCTTCTTTAAGAAAGAATTGTTCCTTCTCTCCCATTTATTTACTTCATCAAGCATTTATTTGTGTTCCTGTGCACTCACTGATTTTTATTTTAAATTTTGTATTTCTGTCGCACTCCAATACTGTTATTATTTTTTATTCAACCTGCTGAAGTTTTGGCAATTGGGAACTGTTTCAGATTGGTTCTTATGTCTTTTAAATATGACTCCATTTTTTTTTTCTTAAGAACTTCCTAAGTTTCTGGCATCATGGTATGTTCCAAACTCACATTTTTCCCACCCCAACATTGGAATTAACCATTTATTCAAGGAGTCTTAATTCTTTTATTGGAGAATGGCATTTGCACACCAGGATCTAGGTATTTAACTTTGTAAGAAACTACCAAACTGTTCTCTAGAGTAGTTTATGCTATTACCAGCCATGTATGAGAGTTTTCCAGTTGCTTCACATTTTTACCAGCACTCGGTATTGTCAAATGTTTTTAAAAAATTTTTAATCATTTAAAAATTTGTAGTGGTATTTCTTTGTAATTTTAATTTGCATTTCCCTAATGACTAGTGATGTTGAGCATCTGTTCATATGCTTGTTGTGATGGTTAACACTGGGTGTCAACTTGATTGGATTGAAGGATACAAAGTATTGATCCTGGGTGTGTCTATGAGGGTGTTGCCAAAGGAAATTAACATTTGAGCCAGTGGGCTGGGAAAGGCAGACCCACCCTTAATCTGGTGGGCATCATCTAATCAGCTGCCAGCGAATATGAAGCAGACAGAAAAATGTAAAAAAGAGAGACTGGCTTAGCCTCCATCTTTCTCCTGTGCTGGATGCTTCCTGCCCTGAAATATTGGACTTCGAGTTCTTCAGTTTTGGAACTTGGACTGGCTCTCCTTGCTCCTCAGCTTCCAGATGGCCTATTGTAGGACCTAGTGATGGTGTGAGTTAACACTTCATAAACTCACCTTTAAATATACATATATATAGATGTACACACATATGTATATATGTATGACTTATCCTTCCAGTCTCTTAATGTTTTTCACAGAATACAAGTTTTAAATTTTGGTAAAATTCAATTTATCAATTTTTCTTTTGTGGATTGTGCTTTTGGTGTTTGGTCATAAAAATGTGCCAGACCCAAAGCTATACATGTTTTCTTTGAGAAGTTATATAATTTTAGCTTTCATATTTATGTTGATGATCTATTTAGAATTAATTTTTGTGTAAGGTATGAGGAATGTGTCCAGATTGGGTGTTTTTAATTTTTGGTATATGAATATCCAATTGTTCCACAACATTTGTTGTCAAAAGCATCCTTTCTCCATTACATTGACTTGCATCTCTTGTCAAGTATCAGTTGACTATGTTTGTGTGGGTCTATCTCTCCACTGTCTCTTCTATTTTATCTATCTATCTATCTATCTATCTATCCATCCTTTTGTAAAAAACACACCATTTAATTATTGTAATGTTATAATAAGTCTTGAAGTCAGTGTGAATCCTCCAATTTGCTTCATGCTTTTCAGAGTTGTTTTGCTGTGAGTGGAGCCTCTGGAAAAATGAGCAAATTCTTTTCAGCAATAACTGTGGTTAATTTTAAGATTGTTTTTCTTTAATTTTCTACAGTTTTTCTACTATGAATGTAGTTTGGACTTTATTATTATTATTATTTAATATGTTTTGCTTGGCATTCAGAAGGGGCTCTAGATATAACATTGTCTATATTTTTTTTAATGGAAAAACTTTCAGTAATTGTATCTTTTTCCTTCTTCTTTTTTCTTTTTCGGCATGGAGTCTTGCTCTGTTACCCAGGCTGGAGTGCAGTGGTGAGAT